GAAAAAAAAAGGAACCTTGGAAGAATTTGAAACTGAAGAGTACATGGTTAATTTCCATCTTAAAAAGATGATTCTAATAGCCAGTATAGAAGTTAGGACTGGAAATACATATGTTTTTATTAAACACTTACATTGTACTTATTTTGTGCCAGACATAAAGCACTCATAACAATTATACCTGATTTATCCCCCAACAACCCTCTGAGGTAGGTTTATTCTGTCTCCTTTAACAGATGAATCTGGGGCATAGAGGGGCAGTCACTTGCCCAAGGTCCCCCAGCGGTAGAGCTGGGGTTTGACCCTGTGCAGCCTGGCCTGAGTCCTTGCTTGTCACCACTCATCTGCCTCTGTCAGTGCCATGATGAGTCTAGGTGAGAGGAGATGAGACAAACCAGGGAAAGGACATGAGCATGGAGAGGGTATGGTTGAGAGAGCTGTTCAGGAGGCTTGGTGATTGGGCTTCCCAAGCAGGATAACATAGGATTATGCCCATGTTCATGGTTTGGGGGCCTGAGTGGCAGGTGCTCGTATTCACTGAAATGGGAGATGAAGGAGGAATAACAGAGAAGTGGGCTTAGATTGGGACGTGTTTGCTGTGGAGCAGCCATGGGCATCTGGTGAGGATGGGACATCTGGGTCTGGGCATTACCACTATGAGGAGGTATTAGGAGAAGCCAGGGGAGTGGACTGAAGGGAAGGCCCAGGTCAAGGGCTTTCCTTGGTACCTCTGAAAATTCAGAGAGATAGGCTGCTTGACCTCATCTGCTTATAGTATGGGAAATGGTGACTTTGGAAAATGGCTGGACAAAATGCCTTCTAGCCCAAAGGACTGTACCTCAGCAGGTTTCCTTTCCATAGCAAGCTGCCTCGTACCCAGCCAGACGGCACCAGCGTCCCTGGAGAACCAGCCTCACCTGTCTCCCAGCGCCTGCCCCCCAAGGTAGAATCCCTGGAGAGTCTCTACTTCACTCCCATCCCTGCTCGGAGTCAGGCCCCCCTGGAGAGCAGCCTGGACTCCCTGGGAGATGTCTTCCTGGACTCAGGTCGTAAGACCCGCTCTGCTCGTCGGCGCACCACACAGATCATCAACATCACCATGACCAAGGTCAGGCTGTTGGGACAGGGGCTGCAGGGCAGCAATTCCCACTTCCTCTCAAGGGCGTCTTTGCATTGGGCACTCAGTCAGGAGCAGGCAGGGATGAGCAGCCAGTCCATGTTACAGTGGGAAAGCTGAGGTCTTAAAAAGGGCAGTGACTTGGTTAGGGGCACTTCTGAAGAAAAGGGCAGGGCTGGGATTAGATCCCTGCCTCCTGACTAAGGCTAGTGTTCTCTCCATGTATAGCACTGAGCCTGTACAGGGTGAAGGGAGAGAACATGGTGAAGCTGCAGCCCATCCAGTGCCTCCCAGCATGCCCCATGCAGCTGAGAGGCATTGTTGCTGCCCAGTGGACTGCCTGCCAGGCTGTGGGCCCTTGCCTTTGTTTCCACATCTTGAAGGGGAGGTTTGGGAGGAGGGGAGAGGGGCCCCGGTACAGCAGGGAGGACCTGTGTGTGCAGGGTGTCCCCTGCTACCAAGAAGTTGGGGAAGTTGTAGAAAATGGTAAGGGCCCTGGAAGCTTGGACTGAGGGACAGCAGAGGCTGTGGGATGAGCCTGACTAGTCAGGAGACAGCTCTGATACTTCCTAGCAGTGTGATTTGGGGCTAGTCACTTCATTTCTTTGCACTTCACCTCTAAAATGGGCCGATAAACACTCTGCATTCCCTCCCTCAAAGCATTATGAATAGACTCCATGAAAAAAATGTATAGAAAAGAGTCTTGACAACATCAGCACCACCTTGTGAGGGCTTCTGTCAACAAGGCCCATTTCTTGCAGACACACGTTAAGGGCCTTTGCAAAGCTGTTGGGAATGCATGGATGTGCCGTGGGATCTCAGGGCTTTGTGAGGGAATGGGAGGCTTCTGTATAGTGCCAGGGCCCACCCCATTGCAACAGATTCACTCTCTCTTCCAGAAGCTAGATGTGGAAGAGCCAGACAGCGCCAACTCATCCTTCTATAGCACGCGGTCTGCTCCGGCTTCCCAGGCTAGCCTGCGAGCCACCTCCTCTACTCAGTCTCTAGCTCGCCTGAGTTCTCCCGATTATGGCAACTCAGCCCTGCTCAGCTTGCCTGGCTACCGCCCCACCACTCGCAGTTCTGCTCGTCGCTCCCAGGCCGGGGTGTCCAGTGGGGCCCCTCCAGGTGAGGGGACTACAGGGACTTACTATACCCCAAAATTAGAATGGAAGGTGGATCGTGGCACAGGGAAAAGAGGAAAGCTTTTTAAAAATCCAAGGCTGGCCTCCTTGCTACCGTCCACCTCCACCTGCCCCTCCTTCCTGCAGCCTCAGGGCCTTCCTTACCTGCCCATCTAGGGGCTGGCTGTGTTAGGGGCACTCTTAGCCAGAGTTAAGGGCCTGGGATTCCCAGCACAATTGTGACACTTAGCTGTGGGGAGTCCTCCATGCCCTTAGGTGGTGATGGGCTGCTGGAAAGGCCAGGCTGGCCAGACTCTTCTTGGAAGCTCTTGTTCTTTGGGCACCAGAGAGCCCCTGGGAATCAATTCCTGGTCCTTAATTCGTTCCTCTGGGTGTTGGGCACCAAGCCTTGGCTGGTGAATAAGATGTAGTAGCAGCCTCTGCGTGTGACCTCTTCTGCCCTCTCCAAGGAGAAGGCGGCAAGCAAGCCCCTAGGATAGAAATAGTCTGTGTGCCATACTCCTGCACCTGTGGCACTGAATCAGATTGGTGTGCTGGGCTTCAAGTTTATGGGGTAGGTGGCAGCAAAGGCTGGCAAGATGCCAGGGCCAGCAGGCAACCTGCTGACTCTGGGCTCATTTGTTCCCACCTCCCTGCCATCCACAGGAAGGAACAGCTTCTACATGGGCACTTGCCAGGATGAGCCTGAGCAGCTGGATGACTGGAACCGCATTGCAGAGCTGCAGCAGCGCAATCGAGTGTGCCCCCCACACCTGAAGACCTGCTATCCCCTGGAGTCCAGGGTGAGCCCTGGGGTCACTGTGCAGGGCCTCCCATCCCTGTCCTCCCTTAGAATCCCACCTGCTGATCTAGCCTGAGCACTAGAGCCCTGGATCGCTGACTGGCCAAGGACAGGGAGGGTGACCTTGTCATGCTTCCAGGCAGAACAGACAGCAGGGAAGGTGCTTAGGAGTGAAGTCCCTGGGGATGAGCAGGAGCTCAGAGAGGAATCTGGTCGGGACTGCACTGCTTGTGGCCATTTGCCCGGGGTGTAGGTAGAAAGCAGAACAGGAAGGGAGGCCTCGTGAGAGGTAGGAAGGGTCCGCCTACCCTAAATGGCGGGCAAGTGCAGAGTTCTGGGACAGCCCCAGGTCCTGCTCCATCTCCACACAGCTACGGTCCACTGACTGCCTCTTCCACCCATGCAGCCTTCCCTGAGCCTGGGCACCATCACAGATGAGGAGATGAAAACTGGAGATCCCCAGGAGACCCTGCGCCGAGCCAGCATGCAGCCAATCCAGATAGCCGAGGGCACTGGCATCACCACCCGGCAGCAGCGCAAACGGGTCTCCTTAGAGCCCCACCAGGGCCCTGGAACTCCTGAGGTAGGCTTCTGGGTGTTGCTCCAGCATTGTGCCCAGGTCAGGCCCAGCTCACCAAGGACTAAAGGGAGCCTTCCCTCTCTCCCCTTCTCCTTCCCTCACTTCCCCTTCTCCGTCCCTCTCTCCAAGGGTCTAACCTATGGATGGGAACTGTTGGGAAGGGAAGCCTCTGGCCCAGAGTTGGGTAGGGGAGCAGGTTGCACAAGTTGACTTACAAGGTCCACTCAGCTCTAAGAGGACAAGACACCTGGCTTCAGATGTGACGACTCTTGCTACTGTCTGCCTAACTGTCCTGTTCCCCATAGTCTAAGAAGGCCACCAGCTGTTTCCCACGCCCCATGACTCCCCGAGACCGACATGAAGGGCGCAAACAGAGCGCTACTGAGGCCCAGAAGAAAGCGGCTCCAGCTTCAACTAAACAGGTGAGGCTGGGGCTGAAGGGGGATGAAGCGACGCCCTGGCAGGACCTTGCTGGCAGAGTGTCACACAGCAGGCTGGCCTGGGAAGGCAGCATTGGGTCTCCCGGTCTGACAGCCCTTCCTTGCAGGCTGACCGGCGCCAGTCAATGGCCTTCAGCATCCTCAACACACCCAAGAAGCTAGGGAACAGCCTTCTGCGGCGGGGAGCCTCAAAGAAGGCCCTGTCCAAGGCTTCCCCCAACACTCGCAGTGGAACCCGCCGTTCTCCGCGCATCGCCACCACTACAGCCAGCGCCGCCACTGCTGCTGCCATTGCTGCCACCACTGCCACCCCTCGAGCCAAGGGCAAGGTAGAGGCCACTGGCAGGATGGGGGAGGGAAACCTGATGAGAGCATGGGCACCCCCTAGACCGCCCCACGGAGTAGCATCCAAGACAGGCCCACGCCAGGCTGCAGGAGGGTGCAGGGTAAGAGGTGTCGCTGTCCTGGTAGCTACTCGTTACCAAGGAGAGAAGACAGATGGCCCCATTCTTACGGAGAGCACCCAGAGCTGCTCAGGCACAGCCAGCACCTGATAACCCCGGGGCTCACAAGGGAGGGGATCCAGATGGGGGCATGGGAGCAGGAAGAGGTCTTCCGAACCCGTGGGTGCAGGCTGGCATTCCAAGTTCTCATCTGGCCTTGTGACTGTTTCTTTCAGGCAAAGCACTAAAGGGCCAGTACCAGTGAGTGGCCCCACCTGTGTCGCTGATGCTGACCTCACCTGGTCCTCCTTCTACTGTCCCTCTCAGTGCCTTCTCTCAGCTCCCAGGCCAACAGTAGCCAAACCCCTAGAGACAGTGATGCCTGCCCGCACCCTGACCTGGTCCCTGGACCTTCACTGGCAACTTCTCAAGAGCTGGCCCAGGAGGCCTGGAGCATGGACAGTGTGGGCGCTCTCCCTACCTTGCCTCCTTTTTTCTTAAAGCAAAGTCACTTCTCCATCACAACCAGATTTGAGGCTGGTTTTGATGGCTGGGTCCTTGGGCCTGGCCAGTCTTCCTCTTAGCCTCTGGATCTAGAAGGGACCATAAGAGGAGTAGGCCCTGGTTCCTGCTCTCCTGGAGGCTGGGCCTAGCAGGGGCCCTCACTCTTGAAGTCCAGGACTGGGTCTGACCTGGTGGGAGCACCTGCCAGAGGATGCTCTTTCCCAGGATGATGGGCCTGTGTCTCAGGAGTGGGGTTAGGGGACAGCCTTCAGCGGCAGCTCACACCCTACCTTCCCCAGACTTGCACTGGGGTGGGATTTGGAGTGATGGGAAGGTTTTTAAGGGCCGGGGATGGATCTTTTCTAAATGTTATTACTTGTAAATAAAGTCTATTTTTCTCCCGTGAGTACTGAATTGCCTTGATCTATGTGGGAAAAGGAGGGGAAATCTAGGCTCTTTGGAGCCTACCTTGTCCCCACTGAGTCTTTCAGACCACCTCCTTTCTGTCATCCCTTTTCCTGGAGGCGCATCTTTCCAGGCTCTTCCCAGTCTCCATTACTGGCCTCTGCTCCTGGGGAGCATTATGAAATAAAAGAAGAGCTGTTCTCTCTTCTTTTTCAAGAGCCTGTGTTCCCCTGAAGCAGGTTTTGTCTTCAGCTTCTGTGTGGCAGTCCCTCTCTCCCATACTCCATACTCCCTCCTGGGACAGGCAAAGTTCCTGCGAGTGGAACTGAAGCCTAAATGAACAGATGTCAGGATGCCTCTACTGAATAATCCTTTATGAGGACCCATGTGGGGATGACACAGACACAGTGTGGAGCCGAAGCAGCCACTGCCCCCATCCCTTCCCTGGATCAGTCCATTAGAGTGAAGGAAAACAACAAAAAAACAACATACAGAAAGAAGACATGAAGTCTGCAGAATGTGGCCAGAGCTGAACAAGGGTAACTTCATTGAAGACGTGGCGTTTCAACCAGGCTTCAGAGTTCCCCTGCTGGGATGGTGAGGACGACGGGACTAAACGAGCAGAGACATGGGAGTGGGAGCTGTCTGGGGAAAGCAGGAATAGCTGGAGGCATCCAGAAAGTCATGTGGGAAATGTAGGTAGGGCCCTGGAGTGCAAGGCTAAGGCATCAACAGTCTTGGTGGTTTCTGAGCAGTAGAGCAGTGTGAGGAGTAGGATGTTAGGAAAGCTAATGGGGTAGGTAGAGAGAAAATGGCAGGAGGAGGAGGAGGCATTATTATAAGGAGGCTGCGATTTTCCAGGTAGGTGGGAATGGAGTTGGAATTTGGTGAGAGAAGGGACCCAAAGCAGAGGAGGAGGGGGTGCGTTGCTCGCCCACACAGCCTGCAGGCAGTCAGGGACTGTTCACTTCAGGTAGACGGGTAGGACCCAGGCTCTGGTCAAGGTCGTGCTGCTGCTGGCCCTGTGCTGAGTCTTAACCCTGCTGCTGTGGCCCTGTGCTGTGGCTGGAGGGCAGGGCTTCTTGGGTGGGGGGCAAGGTTGTCCTCAGCCCAGCCTAAGGAAGTGAAGGCAGACAAGGATCAGGCCAAGGAAACGAGGGACATCTCATCACTTTGCCCCAGGCCATGCCTCCCCTGCCCAAGACCCAAGTTCCTTTTTGTCTGGCTGACCTTGAGGAATGCTGGGCATTAGTTTAGAGGCTGCTCTGGCAGAGCCCACCCTTTCCTCCCCACATATGGAAGAAGAGCTCCTCCTGTTGCTGGAGGCCTCTTCTTGGGCTCCTCACCCAGAGCTGGGCCAGGATGACGTGACGCTGGACAACCTGTTCGGGGTCCATGAGCACACAGGAGAAGTTGGTGCTGTGCAGCGCAGGGGTCAGCTGCTCCAGCACCAAGGCCTTGTACAGTTGCGTACCTGTGCTCCCATGTTCCCGGCTGGAGCGAAGGGGAAGGAAAGGTCATGAGAGGGCCGCAGAAAAGGCCGCCTTCCCACCCACCTGGCTGCTGCGACCCTCACCTGGTGCTCCCCTCCCACAGCTGGCCTGGGAGGTGCTCAATGAAGGAACCATTGCCCAGCCAGTAGAGCACGCTGAAGTTGGGGAAGCGGCTGCAGGCCGTACAGGATAAGGTCAGCGTTCCATCTAGGGACACAGGCAGTAGTTAGCCCTTCCAAAGAGCAGGCCCTTCCCCTGCCCTGCCCTGCTGTGCCCTCCCTGCCAGCTCCCCTCAGTCCCCATGAATCTGGAACCTAGAGAACTGCTCTGCACACCACCCAGGTGGGAATGTCTGTTAAAGGGGAAGTGCAGTTGTCTCTGAGAGGCCCTAGCCCTAAACATAGGGGAATGTGAGGAGGGGTCCTTGGTTCACGTGATGACTCCTCTACTGAACCTGTCTCCTCAGGATGACCTTTTCTTTTCTTTTTTTTTTTTTTTTTGAGACGGAGTCTCGCTCTGTCGCCCAGGCTGGAGTGCAGTGGCCAGATCTCAGCTCACTGCAAGCTCCACCTCCTGGGCTTACGCCATTCTCCTGCCTCAGCCTCCCGAGTAGCTGGGACTACAGGCGCCCGCCACCTCACCCGGCTAGGTTTTTTTTGTATTTTGTAGTAGAGACGGGGTTTCACCGTGTTAGCCAGGATGGTCTCGATCTTCTGACCTCGTGATCCGCCCGTCTCGGCCTCCCAAAGTGCTGGGATTACAGGCTTGAGCCACCGCGCCCGGCCAGGATGACCTTTTCTAGTGCCCAGCCTCGGTGACTTGGGAACCCAGGTGACAGAGGCAGTGCTGGATGGCTGCTGCTCCTCTGAGATGGCCAGAGGCCAGCAGGCTCTGGGTGGCGGGACTGGCCTTGGAGTTCACTGCAACCAAGGCTCTGGGAGGTCTGTGACCATTACTTACGTCTTGAGTTCTCTGTCCTACTTCATAGGGAGCATCTTGGGAGCTGTGCTAAGCCTGCACCCATGACAGTGGGTTGGGGAAGGAGAATGGTGCATGCTCAGTCCAGCTGGCCCAGCTGGTGGTGCATGGCAGAAGGGGGCTGGCGCTCAAGAGTCAACCCGACCCTGGGAACCTCTGTGCCCATAGCCCACCCTTGACCACTGTGCTTCTTACTCAGTGGCACTTCCACCTCTGGCCAGGTCACTTCCAATGCTGGACACTGCTTAGCTGCTGGGAACACTGGGGGCTGGGAGGGGCAGGGGTCCTTTGTGCTTCTAGATGAGGCAGTGGCAGCTGTGGTGGTCTGCGAGACAGGTGTGGCTCTGACCAGAAGAGTGATGATGTGGGCACACAGCAGGACCCACAAGAAGCTGAGGTCTGAGGAAAGGACAGTCACAGGTCAGCGGCTGGGCTGCCTGGGAGCGCTCAGCATCCTGGCTCGTATCTGGACTGGAGACAGAGTGGGCTGCCCGGGTAAGGATGTAACTCCAGCCCAGAGATGTCTGGGCTCTAGCCAGGGAATCAGAGTGGGAAGAGGGGCCCCTCAGCACCCACCCCTTTAGCCCCTTATTGAATAGAGTACAGAGGAGCTTTAGAATGGAGCCAGAGCCACAGCATCCGCCCAGGTTCTTAAAGCAGCAGCACCAGGTTTGTTGGCTGGTGTTTGCCTTGGGGTGAAGGCTCCTGGTTAGCCCATTGCTCCATTCTGTTCACAGACCTCACCCTACCCCTCCTGCCCATGCGTAGCCCCAAGGCCTACCTGGTGTCCAGTTGTGTCTCATGGTCATGATGCATGTGTCAGGAGCTGGTGAGCTGGCTCTTTATCTGTGACAATGTCCTCTTCTCTGGTGAAAGGTGGGGGAGGAGAATGGTAAACCACTCCCGCTTTTTCTCAGTAGCTGGCTTTTCCTCCCATAGCATAGCCTGGAGCTCCTTCAGCACTCAGAAACAGAGCTGGGGGGGTCATCAAGTGACAATCTTTCCCCACGCCAGCTCTCAGGACCACAAATGGTTATAAGATGCTTACCTAGTCCAATCTTACCCCTTCATTAGGGAAAGCAAAATTGAGACCCAAAGAGAGAATATGGACTCACCCAGTCACACAGGGAGGCAGTGCTCTCTCCAGCACCAGAGCTGCTTCTGGGAAGGGCAGGATGCCGAGCAATCCTTCTGGGAAAGCACTGCCCCCATCCTCTATTTCACTTTCACTTTTTAACCAGGGAATCCTGAGCAGCTGTTACACCTCTGCTTTAGCCAAAGTTCAGTGGCCAAAAACCTTCAGTTCTTGGGACCCCTACTCTCCAGATACCAGACTGGGATCTCTAACCTACCCCCACGCCACCCCCAGGGTCACCTAGGTGTGAACTAGGTAAGAGTCTCTCACAGATCAATTCTGTCCCATCCAAGTGTCAGGACTTTGGTGTTCACCTCCCCTCTTCACAGCCAGGTCTTTGTTTCCATATGAACAGGCATCTGCTTCCTCCTTCACCTTCACACTAATATTCAAGGGGACAACTTTCCTAGGCACTGGGGACCCCAAGTTGGACCATTTCAGGCTCAATGCCATACCAGCCCATCCACATCCTGGCCTTTCCCAGGCTCCCCACTCCCCCAGCCACCAGCCCCAAGGTCGGCTGCAACTCCCAGCACTCACCATCACACCCTCCGTCTCTCGTCCTAGCCCCTCTGGCCAGAGCTACAGGTCTAGGTTCACTAGTAGTTCCAGACTCCTACCTGGCTTCCGAGAGGTCCTGAAGAAGCTTCCTTTCCAGAAGCTCCCCTCTAGGAGCTCCAAGACTCAAGTTAGCTGTGTCTAGCTGCATGTACACCCACCACAGGAAATACACCGAGAGCACTTCCCCCTTGTCTGTAGAACTCTCACGGCCAACCCAGGAACTGGCACACAAGCTCAAGAGCCAACCCTAACAGGAGGGAAGGGAGGGCACTTCCCGGGGAAGAGGCGGACTGGTTCAGCACTGGCTCCGGCAACAGAGGCTACACCAGAATATGAATCTGGTCACTGATGGGACAAATGGTGCTGGTGCTGGGGCTGCGGGAGGGCCAGGTTTCAGGGTGAGGCGTGTGAGGAACCTAGGATGCTAAATCTAAGGAGGTTCCCTCTCGGGGTCATGCAGTTATCCATGGAAGCAGAAAGACCAGGGCTGGGTGATCCAATGTGCATGCATACATTAAGTGTGGACAGGAGCTGCACGTCTGAGGTTTGTGACTCCTGTGATCAGGAGGGTGCAAGGGCTGGTGACAGAGCCAGGGAGGCCCACAGATGGAACTGGGTTTGGTGGATGCATCAGGAACACAGTCAGCTGTGATCTCAAGTTTCTTGTAGAAAAACCAGATTCATATTCCTAATTTAGACATAGGAGACTACAAGTCACATCCTTCTTCTCTAGGTATCCAGTTCACGTTTTTCCTCCTCTCAATTCCTCCCCCTACCTCTTGCCCCAGGGGCTTCTAGCACGTAAGATGCAGGGGAAATTCCTCCCAGGAACACCAGCATCTCCAGGAATTAGGTCAGGAGGCAAGGCTGCCTGGGGTTTCTGAGAGAGACAGTCCAGTGGGGGATGGTAGGAAGAGACAAGAGGACTCTGCCTTAGTGGAACCAAGGCCAGAGTTGGGCCAAGGGGAGATCAAGGGACTCAGGACTGTTACACATGAAAAGAGCTTTGGACAGCCTGGCCTCGGCTTCTCACCTGAGCCTGACATGGGGGTGGGGGAAAAAAGTGAAAGGGTGATCCCTGGGTCCTTTGACCAGCCCCATTCCCCTCTCTGAGGAGGGGAACAGCCCCACGGGTGGCATAAGCAGCAGGGTACCATGGGAAGCCACAGCTGGGGAAGAGAAGCCAAGGTTGAGTATGGCCCTAAGGAAGGCAAGTGGTGGCAGGACACTGGCCTCAGGCAGTGAGAACATAGAGCAACCTCAGTCTGAAAGCAGGCCCAGTGATGCCCCAGGCCCCCTTAGGCCACAGGACAGGAGCCTGGCATTCCACCACTCCTAGGGATGTCGGCAGGGGAACAGCCAGGAACAGCAGAAAGGCAGGCCCAACCATCCCCAGACCCTCAGGTCTCAGATGGGGGTTAGCAAAGGCAAGACACCCCTGGAGACCCCAGGGAAAGAGGTGGGAAGAAGAAAGCAAGATAAATGTTCAGCTTTCCAACCCAGCTCATGGAGCTTTATTCAGACGGGAGTGACAACATCCTGCTTGGTTCTTGCTGCCCTTGAAGGAGCAGGCCCTACTGGGTCATATTCCCTAGAAACCCAATGCCAAAGGCTCATGTTTGACCTCCCACTTTATTCAAGTCGCCTAGTACTAGGGCTGGGGCCTTCCTAGAAGCCCCCTCTCAGAACCTGTACTCACTTGGGCCTTATCCCTCTACCCACCCACCACTCTTGTTGGCAGGCCCAGGGGGGACCCATGAACGACAAAAATCATGTAGGGATATTCCCTGGACTGGGAATCCCCTGCCAGCTTCAAGGGCATATCATCTGACACAGGGAGAAGCTGACATCTGTCATATTCTTCTGCATCACGTGCAAACACACACACAGACACACACACATGCATACGCACTCTTAGGCTTTCAAGAAAGAAGTGATGTGGCAGAGTGACCGCTGGCACGTGTCACCACTCCACTGAAGGATCCACTGAAGAATGAGCTTGCACAAGGGGCCGTCAGTCATGGCTGCCAACAATTGCCCCACAGCCCAACTATATGACCTCTATTCTTGGCTGACCACAGCCCTGCCCACAGGCAAGTATCCATGGTGCTGATTCTTCCAGTTGTCCCAAAACAAATCTTCAATGAATTCTGAGGCCCCAAGGCTTCCCTTGTTGGACAAGTCACTGATAAGGTTCCACTTGCCTCAACCAGCCTATAGCTCCTGGACAGGGGGAGACAGAGTCAGACACAACACCTGTCCTGTTGTCCCAGACAGTGGGGGAGGGAGGACACTTGGGGCCTCAGTGCTCACCCGTGGCACCAGCCTGAGTACATTAGCTCTTCTATATAAGTGCACCAGGCTTGAGCCCCACACAGGGAAGAAGGGAGTGGGTGGGCTGAGGTCTTCAGCTACCTGGGAGCCCAGCAGTGTTCTCGGGCAGAGATGAGAAGGCTCCTTTAAACCAAAAATGTCAAGGGTCTGCCCCCACCCTGCTTAGGCAGGGAGGGTGAAGCCTGGAGGGGGGCAATTCCTATGCTCCACAATTTAAAAAAAAAAAAAAAAAAAAAAGTTTTTAAAATATATTCATCAAAATAGTTTTCTTTTAAAAAGCCCCCCACTGCTGACAGCCCCACTGGCTGGGTCTCCATCATATCCCTCCCCAGTCCGACACAACCGGAGGGGTCCTGAGTGGCCCAAGCGCCCCTTTGAGTCTTTCCCACCCAGGAGGTCTTTGTGGGCAGGGAGGAGAGTGCCCTGAGCTCCACGGCGTGTGGGGTGGGTTCTCCACTGATGCTCTTCGTCACTATTCCAGGCCCAGAATGTAGTTGATGCCTTGGACTAGGCCAATGATGACAGGCTGCCAGGCTACCAAGTATCGAAGCCAGTCCAGCAGTTGCCCATACATGACGTGAGGCCTCTCCCAGCTGTCAGTGTGTTAAAGAAAAGAGGCTCTGTGCAAGAGCTGCCAGGAGTGATCTAGCATGGGTGGTGGGGCTCCCTGGGTCTGCCCCACTTTCCAGCTGCTCCACAGCCTAGAGGAATGGAGGCTTTCTGGAAGGGCCCAGCCTCACTTCCTACTCAGCCTACTCCCAACTTTGCCCTCCCCCTCCTCTTCCTCCTCACAGCCTGTCCGTTGGAGTAGAGCTGAACGCAGAGAATGCAGGAGGCAAACAGAGGGGACTGGTACAGGAGGCAGGGCAACCCTGAGAGGTAGAGAGAGAAATCCTAGTTCCCCACGACTAACATGCAGGGATGGCCTCCAGTAACACATTCTCTAAGAAGGAACTGCCAGTGTAAGAAAACACAGCCTAAGGCTGACACAAATCTGTCTGTCTGTGACAATGGCTGCAAGGAGGCTGAGAATAGGTTGAGGGCAGAACTGAGGGCCCCAGGAAGACCCAAATGCAGGTCACACTGTCCAGTACTTTCTTCCCACAGCCCACTCCCAACAAGGACCCCAATAAAGGATACGGATTGCTGAACATCCTCTTGAGGTCTACCTTCTCTTTGCAGTAGGGACACGTCTGCTTCTTTCCCACGATGCACCAGCCGCGGATGCAGAACTCGTGGAAGCTGAGCACCGCTGGTCAAGGGAAATGGTGAGAGCCAGGGCGGCACTCCAGCCCCAGGCCAGTCTTTAAAAGATTCAAATCCTGCCTTCACGCTTTATCAGCTCTGTAATGTTGGGCAAGTCCCTCTGTCTGAACCTGTTTTCTCACATGTAAAGTAAGGATGATGATCCCTGTCTCACAAGATTGTTGTGGGGCAAAATGGAGACGACACGTGGCTCTCTCAACATAGGCACAGAATGGGAGCTGGGTAAATACGTGATAAATATTAGAAGTGTTATTCAGAATAGGGGATTTGATGCTAAACTGAGGGATCCCATTAGAGGGTCCTCTTCCCCTGTGACTGGTCAGATCTCAGGTCAGCTAGCATAGCCTCACTAGCTACAGCCTCAGGTTCCTCTCAGACCCAGCCAGGCTGTAACCACTGTTTACCTAAGAGTGGCTCTGATCTGTGGGAAAGCACAGGGAAGGCAGCCCTCTCGTGGCTCTCCTACACTCAAGGGTCTGGACAGCACACCTAGGGTCATGACCACCCCCTTTCTCTCCCTCACTGGAGTGTGCAGGTTGCAGGAGAGATGTGGCCCAGGAGCTCGAGGCAGGATACACATGATTGCAGGACAGCCTATACGTGTTCTCAATGATCCCCTCTTCACTGACGTCCACAAAGATCTGCTGCCCACACACAGCACACACGCTGTCTGAAAGATGCTTGGTAGGCATGCCCGACTCGCTGTAGAACTGAAGGAGAATAGCAGGAAGGAAAGATAGGAAAAGCTGTGAGAAGCAGCCAAAGTAGGAAGCTCCACAGAAGCCTCAGGACTTCTAGAGAGGAGGCACAGTGGCAGGGGGAGGCCCACAGTTAGAGGACATCTTTTTTTTTTTTTTTTTTTTTAAACTGTTTAGAAAAGGTCATCTTTTACAAGTCAAAATGACATCATCTTTGCTGGGCAGATGGGGAGAAGTGACCGGACTAGAGAGAGTTGGGAAGTTAGATGTAACAGGACCTGTAGACTGGGCTAGATCAGCACCAAAGGATAAGGGAAAGAGGAGGGAGAAGGACTCGGGGCTGGTGATCAGGAGCTGTGTCAGGCAAGCCATTCTGTCGCTAGACTACGGTTCCATCAGAAATGGAGAGCAATATTCTCCAACATTTAAAACAGTGAAATATTAAGTGCCATGTTGGTTTGGTGACAAGGGCATTCTCAGACATCTGTGGCAGCAGCAAAAGGGGTTCAAGCCTTTTGGATAGCATTTAGCATGGTGTCTCAAACTGTCGCACCTTTTGACCCATTAATCTCACTTCAAGGAATTTAAAGAAATAAGAGGAAGTGTCAAAAAAGTTTCACGAATACAGATATTCACTTAAGCATTATCATAAGTAAGAAAGTAAAGAGTTTGGCATGTCCTCAAAAAGTTAAACACAGAATTACCAAATGACTGAGCAATTCCATTCTCGGTAAAAACCCAAAAGATATGAAACTAAGGACTAAACACACTTAAACGCCAGTGCTCACAGCATTACTCACAGTAGCCAAAAAGTGGAAACAACCCAAGTGCCTATCGACAGATAAATGAATAAACCGAATGCGGTGTCACACACAATGGAATACTATTCAGCCATAAAAAGGAATGATACATTCTATACACAGATGAACTCTGAAAACACTACGCTAAGTGAAGGAAGCCAGAGACAAAGGCACAAATCTTGTATGATTCCATTTACAAGAAATATCTACAATAGGCATGTTCATAGAGATGGAAAGTATATTAGAGGTAAACCAGGGGCTGTGGGGAGGGGTAATGAGGAGTTACTGCTTAATGGGCAGAGTTTGTTTGGGATGATGAAAAATTTTGGAATTAGACAGTGACAATGTTGCAGAATTCTGCAAATGTAATTAAGGCACTGAACTGTATACTTCAAAATGGTGAAAATGGTGACATGGTCTAGAAATCTCTTCTGGGGAGTAAACTGGTTAAAGGAAGATCCAATGTCTACATAAATAGGTAAGAGGGAAATGAAGGTAAAACACAAGACAGTTGTTCAAAAAGGAACCTAATAAACTGTTTATAAAGTGATCCAATGTACTGTTTTCAATTTGATCCAGTAGAGAAAAAAATTAGAATATTCCCATGATACCGAGAGAAAAAGTCCCTGGCCTTAAACGGTACTAGATTAAAGTTACCCAAGGTGATGGAAATACTCCTTTTTGGGGTGGGATCTTGGGGGATGACACTGAGACAGAGAGCACTTCTGTATTGCTTAATTACAAAGAGAACATATTACTTTTATAAACAGCAAAACAACAAAGATATATTTCCATTCTGAAAAAAAAATTAGAAATATTTACTTGCGTTTCTCAGATTGGTTGTTAATTTACCCATATTTCAGCATCTCTTCGTGATGTCCACCTGCTCCTCTTGCAGCATTTCCTATCTCAGTGAAAGGTACTACCATCCAAGCAGTTGCCGAATCAGAAATCTCAGCTTAGAGACCTACATTTCTTTCATATTTTTCCCTTCAGTCTTCAGAACCAAACTATATCTAAGTCCTGTTAACCTCCAAAATACTTCTCCAATACAGTGTGTCCTCTCTTAACTTCATTGATAGTTTCTTGGAAACTGTGACTTTACGTGAAACGACATATAACAAAACCAATTATACCACTGGCTAATTGATGAGTTCAGTTCCTGTGTCATATTTCTGTCACAAAGACATCACCAAACCTCTATTTAAGAGATACCAAATTGTCTCTTAAATAAAGACTCAAAACACTTTTAATATTAAATGTTGAAATGAAATGTGTAGCTTTACACACAAAGATTAATAAAGCAAGTATGAAAACTTCCCCAATTTTTGGTAAAGCAGTGACAGTGGCTGTTGTTGTAGCGGTTGTGGGTTAAGTCAAGGAATAAAAGTTCACAAAGTAAAAATTGTAAGAAGCAACTCCTACCACTGTGCAGTTCAAAAACAATAACCAAATATGGACTAGGCACTTTTGTGCCCCATCATTTATTGTTGTGCCTTTGCATGATTATTGTACACTTTGTGAATTTTTACTTATTTAGAGACAACATCTTGCTCTGTTGCCCAGGCTGGAGTTTGGTGGCACAAACAAGCTCACGGCAGCCTTGAAACTCCTAGGCTCAAGCGGCCTCCCACCTTGGTCTCCGAAGTAACTGGGACTACAGGCATGTGCCACCACGCCCGGCTAATTTTTTTTTTTTCCTCATTTTTTTGTAGAGATGGGGTCTCACTATGTTGCTCAGGCTGGTCTTGAACTCCTGGGCTCAAGCAATCTGCCTGCCTCGGCCTCCAAAGGGAGCCACTGTGCCCAGCCCCTCCCAGGATTTTTAGTATAAAAATCAAAATCTTTAATTTGGCCTACAGGCTTTTTTCTAGTCTAGTCACTACTTCTCCAGACACTTCTTGGCCATACAACCGCACTGGTCTTAGTTCCTCAAAAACACCCACACTATCTCCCATGATAGGACTCTTACGAATGCTCTTTTCCTCTGCCTGGTTCTCACTTCATCCACTTAACTCCTACTCATTGTTCAAGTCAGCTTCATAGTCACTTTTTCAAGGAAGCCATCTTTGAGCCCCGAGACTAGGTCAAATGACATTACTACATGTGTTCACAGCATCATGAATCTTTCCTACATAATGTTTATTAAAGTTGTAATTTTATTTTTATCTGTGTTTGTTACTATAATAGCCATCTCTCCCACCCAGTTTATCTGGGCAAAAACAATGTTTATTTTTGTACACTTTTGTAATTCGGACACATAGCTATGTGTCTAGACACATAGCAGGCATTACAAAGTATTTACTGAATGAATGTTAACTTCCTGCTGGATAAAGTGGCTCCTTCCTATAATGGCCCTAAAGAGAAAAATTACAGTTACATCTGAGATTTGGCTAATTTTTTTTTTAAACAATTTCAACTTTTATTTTAGATTCAGAGGGTACATGTGCAGGTTTGTTTCATGGGTATACTGCGTGATACTGAGGTCTGGGGTACAAATGATCCTGTTGCCCATGTAGTGAGCATAGTACCCAACAGATAGTTTTTCAACCATTGTCCCCACTCCCTTCTCCTCTAGTAGCCCCCAGTGTCTACTGCTGCCATCTTTATGTCCATGAATACCCAACGTTTAGTTCCCACTTATAAGAAAGAACATGTAGTATTTGGTTTTCTGTTCCTACATTAACTGGTTTACACTAAAGGCCTCCAGCTAGCATGTTGCTGCAACCGACATGGTTTTATCCTTTTTTATGGCTGTGTTGCTTTCCAAACTTTAAGGAAGGAATGTCCATGCATACGCACATCTTGAAGGATTTTATTTGGCTTATCTCACCTCTTAGTGCCTTTCTCGTCCATTAAACAAGTGACGTCAACTTGAACAATTTGGAGGTGTCAAGAGTCTATTAAGTATTTAAGAACCCGGATGAACTCACCCCTATGGTAGATGCCATGTAGTCTGCACACATTTCTGCAAAGTCCCGTTCCAGAACTCCATAGTAGAGGCCATAGAAGAGAAGGGAGATGCCAAAGTCCATGGCATCTTCTGGTTTGATCCTGCAAGGGAAGTATTAGAGCTAGAAAGACCCACCCTGAGACATATCTTCTTTGGATTACTACTCTGGGACACACAAAGCAGGGCCCAAAGCGAGAAGGCCCAAAGGCTAAAGCAAGTGTGGGCAAACTATGACCAAATCCAGTCTGCTGCCTATTTTTATATGACCCATGAACACCTCTTGAGGAGGCTAGCACTGTAGGCTGCAAAGACCAAGCTACAGTATCCCCTCCTACCCCTTTTTCTCACTCTGCTCTTAGTCCTTGCCTCCCCTAACTGGTGGCAATGACTTGCAGCTGCCCAGGACCTGGGCTCCTTGGGACCTACATGTTGGGGACTCCACTGTTGGTAAGTGCCGGACATTAAGTGAGCTGCCTTGCTGAACTGTCTCTCCTCCAGCTAGCCACCCAAGTTGAAACAGCTGAGCTATCCATAAGGAGGAAAGGGCATGCCAGAAATCTGGGTGTCACTGGAGCAGAGAGTGAAAATTATCCCAGTGGCCACATGCCCCTCCTTCTGAGATTGTCTCGGCTTATGACAACTGAGCACAAAGCATGCTCACTACCTGAGACCTGGCCCCCTCCCCAGGCAAACAGGGTGGGACAGGGTAGGAGCTTTCCCTCTTGTACCAGGCTAGAGTGCAGTGGCTCACTGCAACTTCCACCCCCCGAGTAGCGGGTTCAAATGATTCTCTTGCCTCAGCCTCCTGAACAGCTGGGACTACAGGCGTGTGCCACCACACCTGGTTAATTTTTGTACTTTTAGTAAGAATGAGGTTTCACCATGTTGGCCAGGCTGGTTTTGAACTGACCTCAGGTGATCCACCTGCCTTGGCCTATAGTCCTATTGTCCCATAAGACCTGAAATATTTACTATTTGGACCTTTACAAAAACGGCTTGTCAAACACAGGTTTAGAAAAAAAAAAAAAAAAGATAAAATTAGTAAATATTTATTAATATACAGTAGTTACTATAAAATTATAAACTACATATATAAATAATCTGTATCATGTCATCAAAGTTAAATTTTGGTCCAAGTCTATTTAACAAGAAGGATAAAGATCTTGCCTATAACATTAGAAGGTTTAATAATTCCAAGGACCAATAATTTGCAACCTTGAGTCTATAAATCTTTGTTATAGAAAATTATCTTTGTTAAAATATTTGTACAAAGAACCGTATGTATTTGCTTAGTTACAAATTATATTTATATACAAAGTTGCATTTGCTTATGAACCTTGAATATTTAACTCACTAGAAAACACTGATCTTACGCCAATTAATTTGATCAGTAGCACAAAAATGATCAAGATTCTCAATTCTGTTTTCCTCATTGTAGAGTTTAGGCAAGTAAAAAGAAACTGTAATTACAGAAGAATTATATTTAAAACATAATGCAGAGGCCAGGCGTGGTGGCTCACGCCTGTAATCCCAACACTTGTGGGAGGCCAAGGCAGGTGGATCACCTGAAGTCAGTTCAAAACCAGCCTGGCCAACATGGTGAAACCCCATCCTTACTAAAAATACAAAAATTAACCAGGTGTGGTGGCACACGCCTATAGTCCCAGCTATTCAGGAGGCTGAGGCAGGAGAATCATTTGAACCCGCTACTCGGGAGGTGGAGGTTGCAGTGAGCCACTGCACTCTAGCCTGGGCAATAAAGCATGACTCCATCTCAAAAAAAAAAAAAAAAAAGAAAACCCATAATACAGAATCTTGATTTTTTTGTTTAACCATACAGGTTAGAAAGTTTCCAGGAGATATCTGTTTTCTTCGACAAGATGTGTTTGACTCTACAGTGATGAATTCATCTAAACCCTTCAGGAGCCTGTTTATTCTTTCAGCCTGTACTACCCCCGGAAGAAAGAATTTCATGAGTGTGCTCTCACTATATAAAATAGGATTTATTTTATTTATATTTTTTTCGAGATGGGGGTCTCCCTTTGTCACCTGGGCTGGAGTGCAGTGGCACAATCATAGCTCACTGCAGCCTTGAACTTCTGGGCTCAAGCAATTCTCCCGCCTCAGCCTCTTGAGTAGCTGGGGATACAGGTGCACGCCACTACACCCAGCTAATTTTCTTTTTTTTTTTTTTGGAGTTGAGGGTCTCAATATGTTGCCCGGTTTGGTCTTGAACTCCTGGCCTCAAGCAGTCCTCCTGCCTCAGCCTCCCAAATAGCTGGGATTACAAGTGAGAGCCACCACACCTGGCCAGGATTTATTTTTACTTGTCCTAAAATAAACTCCTTTCAGAGACTCCTGCCTACAATATAACTAGGCTCAGAGAAGAGGCCAGTAATCATTCCATTCATTATCTTAAATTTGAATCCTAAATCTCTAGCCTCAGTGCACTGTCCTAGGCTTAGGGCTCCTCGTGATCCACTGTCCACAGCCACCAGTATTTCATCCAAGAAATCATATTTCCACCCTCATCTGCCTCACTGACTCACGGTATGCTCCAGTCTTTGAGCTCAGGATTTCTTGGCACCTGACTCAATTCGGGGTAGGAAGACCCGTAAGCTAATAGAGATCTTCTGGAAGGCTTATGACAACTGAGGCAATAGCCAAAATTCCATTCCTAGGAATGCACCCTTAGGAAGCAACAGAGCAGCGTTATCTATGACGGTACTAAATTGAAACAACCTAAGTGCCCAAAAATGAAGCAGGACTTAACATCCATGGCTTAACTTTCTACAACTGTTTCCTGAGAAATCTTGTCGAATGTCAGCTATATGACAGGAAACACTAATTATGACCTGTGATTAGTACAACGCATCTGGACTGGGACATTCTTGAAACTGGATGTGTTCCTGGGGGAATGGGGCTCCTAGGCCAGGGTGGCTTCCACACCGGTCTGTGTCATCTCATTCCCTCACACCTAAGCTCTGAGTCTACTGTGAAGACTGCAGACACTGCTCTGCTCTTTTTGTTTTGTATCCTTCTAAGTCAAATCTGTTGCTAGTTGTAGCCAACCATGGTCATGTAGGTTGATGGTCTAGCCCAAGAGTCAGCAAACTTTTCCTATAAAGGGCCAGACGGTAAATATTTTAGGTTTTGTAGCCCATATGATCTTTATCATGACTATTCAACTCTGCTGTTTTAGTGGAAAAACAGCCACAGGCAATATATAAATGAATAAGCATGACTATGTTCCAGTAAAACTTTATTTCATAATAACAGGTTGTGGGCTATTTGGCACAGAGGGCACAGTTTGCCAACCCCTGGCCTGGTTGAACATAAGGCCATTCATGCAGAGTGGATGTTGCAAATGAACAGTACACACCAATGAGAAAAACAGCTCTATTAAAGTGACAGAATTATGGATAGCAGGTTATAATAACTATTATGCTTACTTTGGTTACTAGACTTTTCCACTAAAATATAAAGCCTTGGAAAATATAAAATGATTTAGGACTTTGACACTGTATATATTCAGACATTTCTTGCTTTCTGCCAGCACAAATCATGGAGAGCCTGTCTTTGCCCATTCCTCCACAGCACCCAAGTCTCCTATCCTGGATATTATGTCCCTCCTGTTAATAACCACGACTTGCAGCAAGAGGTACATCTCAACAGCCACTCTTCCCCAAACTCCAGCAAAAACAAAAACAAAGGGTACTCACTTGAATAATAAGTTAAGACCAAAGAGGGTAAACATGACAGCCATGTAGCCAACGATGCCAGTGGCATAGCTGATTTTATAGATTAGCAGGAACCACTTATAAACCAACCTGGGGAAAGGAGAGAAAGTTAGTGCAGCTGACACAGAGATTCTGGCCTCAGTGGTCACTGGATCACCAGAATCCTTTATTCTCACATCAATGGGGACACCACGGTCTTTGCTCAGGACTTACTGAGCAACTTCAGTTACTATTCAAAGCTGCTCACTCCCTTAACTGCAGAAACGCCTCCATATATTCGAGAAGTAGTACTTCTTTGTACTTTCTTTTTTTTTTTTTTTTTTTTTGGAGATGGAGTCTTGCTCTGTCACCTAAGCTGGAGTGCAGTGGCGCGACCTCGGCTCACTGCAATCTCTGCCTCCCGAGTTCGAGCGATTCTTCTGTCTCAGCCTCCTGAGTAGTTGGGTCTACAGGTGCCCACCACCACACCTGGCTAATTTTTATATTTTTTTAGTAGAGACGGGGTTTCACCACATTGGCCAGGCTGGTCTCAAATTCCTGACCTCATGATCTGCCTGCCTCAGCCTCCCAAAGTGCTGGGATTACAGGCGTGAGCCACCACGCCCAGCTGTGCTTTGTATTTTCATGGTCTCAGACCAAGGAAAAGATTCCTAAAAAGGCAGTTTCTGCCTCACAGAAGGAGCACAGCTGACCTTAGACAGCTATGTCACCTCAAATGAGGAAGTAAAAAGTATTAAACACAACTATGCTCAGAAGATTAACAGGCAGGAAGGCTAGTTGTTCAGAAACAGAAATCAAGAGACGAATCCGAGGTAGAATGAGCTACAGGTTTTTTGTACCTGGGCCTGGTTAGTCTGAATACAGCTTTGCTCCTATCCACAGGCCAAAAATGAAATGATGTATAATGAATTTGCTTCTGAAATGAATCTTCTTCTGAGGGAGAAGAGAAAGGAGAGAGGCACTTAAGAAGTACCTTTTGAGTTGGATACAAGTGTGTGGTGGTGGTGAAGTAGAATGGGGTTGTTCATGCTCCTGAAGGAGGAGTAGTGTGCCCCAGGAGCCAATGAAGAACAGCGTACAATCTAATTGATGGATCTCAGCTACTAGACTCAGCAAGAAAGACGGTTTCCTGAATGAACCAGGGCCTTTTTTTTTTTTTTTTGGGCTAGAGACAGGGTCTTCTTGCAATGTTGCCCAGGCTGGCCTCCAACTCCTAGGCTCAAGGGATCCTCCCACCTCAGCCTCCCTGGGATTACAAGCATAAACCGCTGCTGCTTCGCCAAACCAGAGCCTTTTAAATGCTACAAGAGTGGGTTCCCGTCATTAGGAGCCACTACTCTATCTCTGATGGGAGCTAATGAACAAGTTAGCAATCTGCCTGAATAACCAGCACAAGTCTGTGTGGTTCCTGAGAGCTGACTAGGTTACTACCAACCCTGCAGAGCCCTAGGGAGGAAAGTCAAGGTCCTTCCCTGCCCGTGCCTCCTTGCTGTGGCCAGGCAAGCGGTGATGGTTTCTCAGGCTAGGGAAAGGACCCAAACATCTTCCTTCTAGTGCTGTCTTAAAGAATACACACAGTTCCATTCTCCAGGGTTTGCACTGATCAGAAGGAAAGAGACATAGTGAAAGGGACATGAAATTTTAGGTCAAAAAACTCAATATGGATTAAGTGATGTTTTAGTAGCTGGGTAACCTCAGATAAGTCAAATCACCTCTTTGAGATAAGAGAGGTGTATGGAGCCCATTTCCCAGTATATAATACATGTTCATGAAATGCTGCATGTATAGTACAAATAAGGATGTTTATGAAAGTGCTATGAGGCAAGGAACAATGGCTCACACCTGGAATCCCAACACTTTGGGAGGCTGAGGTGGGAGGATTGTTTAAGTTCAGGAGTTCAAGACCAGCCTAGGAAACTCAGTGAGACCTTGCCTCTACTAAAAATAAAAATAAAAAAATAGCCAGGCAAGGTGGAACATGCCTGTAGTCCCAGCTACTCCAGAGACTGAGATGGGAAAACTGGTTGAGCCGAGGAGGATGAGGCTGCAGTGAGTTGTGATCATGGCACTGCACTCTAGCCTAGGAGACAGAGTGCGTCCCCAACTCTGTTTTTAAAAAGTGCTTTGAAATTGTAAAGCACTATCAAATGTTAGTTACAGGGCCGGGCATGGTGGCTCACACCTGTAATCCCAGCACTTTGGGAGCCCGAGGCAGGCAGATCACTTGAGGTCAGGAGTTTAAGACCAGCCTGGCCAACGTGGTCTCTACCAAAAATACAAAAAAAAAAAAATTAGGCCGGGCGCGGTGGCTCAAGCCTGTAATCCCAGCACTTTGGGAGGCCGAGACGGGTGGATCACGAGGTCAGGAGATCAAGACCATCCTGGCTAACACGGTGAAACCCCGTCTCTACTAAAAAATACAAAAAAACAACCGGGCGAGGTGGCGGGCACCTGTAGTCCCAGCTACTCGGGAGGCTGAGGCAGGAGAATGGCGTAAACCCGGGAGGCGGAGCTTGCAGTGAGCTGAGATCTGGCCACTGCACTCCAGCCTGGACAACAGAGCCAGACTCCATCTCAAAAAAAAAAAAAAAAAAAAAAATTAGCTGGGTGTGGTGGCACACAAACTGTAATCCCAGCTACTTGGGAGGCTGAGCCAGGAGAATTGCCTGAGCCCGGGAGGCAGAGGTTGCAGTGAACTGCACTCCAGCCTGGGCAACAGAGTGAGACACTGTCTCTAAATAAATAAATAAATAGCAAGGAGTTACTGGCTGGGCACGGTGGCTCACAAATGTAATCCCAGCACTTTGGGAGGTCGAGGCGGGCAGATCATGAGGTCAGGAGATCAAGACATCCTGGCTAACATGACGAAACCTCGTCTCTACTAAAAAACTACAAAAAATTAGCCAGGCATGGTGGTGGGCGCCTGTAGTCCCAGCAACTCGGGAGGCTGAGGCAGGAGAATGGTGTGAACCCGGGAGGCAGAGTTTGCAGTGAGCTGAGATCGCACCACTGCACTCCAGCCTGGGCGACAGAGCGAGACTCCGTCTCAAAAAAAAAAAAAAAGCTAGTAGTTACTATTATAAAAATCCTCCATATTAGAGACATATTTTCAATCATTTTAGCCAAAAGTTGGCACTGTTTGTGGTGTTCATGGTGACTCTTACATTGTTCTACTGCATTTTTTCTTCATATCACCTTATCTCCCTATGTGAGGTAGCAATTACTGTCCCATTTTTAGGGATGAAGAATTCAAGGCTCAGAAAGGTAAGGTCATACAGTTGAACAAGTGGCAGGGCTAGAGGTCCCAATTCACATTCATCCGGCTCCACATCCTGTATCTTCCACAATGGCCCTTAAATTACCAAAGCCAGAGAGAAACTTCTGGATCACCTATTTCACCTTATACAATGAAACTCCAGAAGGCCAGAGAAAGGCTTGCAGGAAAGTAGAACATAAGACTAGGAAGAAGAGCAGTCTACCACTGAAAGACTTTGGATCAGGTGGTCACAATTTTGAGGCTGGCCAGTCAAGCTCTCTTGGACCTACACAAACCTCTGTCATAGCACTTCCCAACTTCACTGCAACAGGAGCTTTCTCGTCCATCTCCTCCATTAAACAGAGTACTCCTTGAGACAGGGACCATGTCTTATCCAGCTCTGTATCCCCAGCGCTCAGCACAGGGCCTGGCACATAGTAGGTGCTTATTTGAATGAATGAGAAAATCTCTTTTTCTGTTGAGTACAGATATTAAATTACCTCACAAGCTGGTTGGGAGGATCAAATGAGAAACGAATATGAATAAAATAAAAAGAATTATACAGGCAGTGGCTGCTTTGTGACTCAAGAAGGAGGTATTGTTTATTGGAAAATTATAAATTTGCTAAGATTCATTCGTTCAACAAAAATTCGCAGAGGAGGCTACTATGTGCCAGGCCCCATGGCAGGGCTTGAATATACAGTGACAAACACAATGGATGTGGTTCCTGATCTCAGAGGTAAGAGTTTAGTGAGGGAGATAGATACTCAAAATAGTATTTAGTTATAAATTGTGGTAAGTTATATGAAGGAACACTACTGTGCAATATGAGAGAATATACTGGAAAATCTAATTCAGAGATCAGAGAAGGGTTCACAGAAGAAAACATTTAAAATGAGACCATAATGATCACCATGATTTGTTTATTTTTGTTTGCCTTTAATATAAGAAGACCTTGAAACCATAAAGTAAGCTATACAGAAATATCTGGGGTTTTTAATCGATGAATAGGGGAGGGGGTCTCCCAATAAGCTCGTTTTAGAGGGGCCCCATGCCAAGTAGTTTTGGCAGACAAAACCAGGAATTTTTTCAGTCTAAACCTATGTTCCTCCCATGCATTCCAACCCACTAGCTTTGGAAAACCTGGGCTCTTCCCACTATTTAAACTCTCACCTTGGGGTTGTCTGTACTAGAGGTTTTCGGGTGGCTCGGAAGGTGACAAAGGCTGTGACAGCAGAGAACAAGATCCAGATCACTAGGAACCTCCACCAGTGCAGCTTCACTGTGAAATAGAGGGGAACAACCCACATCTGAAAGAGGGTCACCATCTGAAACACAAACACAAGCACTTCAGCTCTAGCCAGATCCCTCTGCAGCTCTGTCCACAGTCCCAAATGCAGCTTGTTTTCTATTTTAGCTTGATCCTCTCCTGTACTTCCAGCTTTGGATAAAGGTAACTCCACTAGTGATACAAGTCAGAAACTTAGGACCATATTTGATTCCTCCTCCCTTTCATCCCTCACTCAACTATCTCTTGGATATATTCTTTCCCTTCCATTTGAGCTCTTGCTACCACTTGGCTGGCTGACTGCAATGAGCTCTTTGTTAATCTCCCTGCATTCAGTGTCTATCCTTTTGAGGAGTGAAAGAATAGTACCCCGAACACAAAATCTTGACCGTGTCATTTCTCTGCTTGAACAGTCCCCCTGCATAAAGGATAGGATCCAACATTCCTTTTATTTATTTTGAGATGGAGTCTTGCTCAGGTTGCCCAGGTTGGAGTGTAATGGCTTGATCTCGGCTCACTGTAGCCTCTGCCTCTCAGGTTTAAGCGATTCTCCTGCCTCAGCCTCCCGAGTAGCTGGGATTATAGGCACATGCCGCTATGCCTGGCTAATTTTTGTATTTTTTGTAGAGAGGATCCAACATTCTTAGCCAGGCTGTCAAATCCCCCATAATATGGCCCCAACCTACTATTTCAAGGGCCATCTGCCACTCCCCAGGCCTTTAAGCCAGGTTGTCCCCATCAGGTTGTCCTTCCCACCTGCCTTTCTGCCTGACAATATCACATCCAAGACACACAAGGCCTTCAGTCTCCTTTCCAGGCAGAAAGTGCTTTCCAGTGCTCCAAATGCATTTTGTTTTCTAACATCATTATAGTGCTTACCTAGAGTATGAGGCTGGGCTTGAATTCATTCTCTACCTGTATGTAAGCTCCCTGTGGGCAGTGACTAGGCCGTATTCCCATTTCCTCTACACTAGAAAACTGCTGGCACATGATATGTCCTCAATAAATTCCAATAAATAAAAGGAAAGTAAAACGAGAGTAGGATTCCCTCGGAGAGAGGTACATTTCTATTTTAAAGAGTGCCTGTTTTACTCTCCCTCCTTCAGAGCCTTCCCTCAGACTTGTTAGCTGAAGTTTTTTAAAGGCATAAAATAATTCTAACTCTAAGATAGAAGTTTGAAGTCATCGCCAGTCTTCTCTCCAATGCCTCCTAACTCCCTTCCCAACCACCCTTCTGTCACTAGATGTCACCCTTCTCCAGTGAGTAGCAGGTATAAAAAAAGATAGCACATAATACGTAATGGAGGTTTTCTTCCTGATGCCATCAACAAAATGAAAGAATATTTTTTAAAAAACAACAACAAAAAAGAGAGATACAGAGAGGAAAAGAGTGGCTAGTTTCCTGGCGTTCTATAGTAAACTAAGAAAGTATTTACTTGGCCAGGCATGGTGGCTCACACTTGTAATCCCAGCACTTTGGGAGGCTGAGGTGGGCAGATCACGAGGTCAGGAGATTGAGACCATCCTGGCTAACACGGTGAAACCTCGTCTCTAATAAATACAAAAAAAATACAAAAAAAAAATACAAAAAAATACAAAAAAAAAAAAAAAAATTAGCTGGGCGTGGTGGCAGGCGCCTGTAGTCCCAGCTACTCACTCGGGAGGCTGAGGCAGGAGAAGAGTGTGAACCCAGGAGGCGGAGCTTGCAGTGAGCCGAGATCGCGCCATTGCACTGCAGCCAAGGTGACAGAGCAAGACTCTGTCTCAAAAAAAAAAAAAGATTAGGGATTTCTAGACCAGTGCTATCCAAACGAAATATCATGCAAGTCACAAACATAGTTTAAAATCTTCTAGTTACATTTTTTAAAAGGTAAGAAGAAACAGGTTTTCATTTCAATAATATATTCTATTTATCCCAATAAATACAAAATATCTCAATATGTATTCAAGATTAAAATTATTTATGAAATGGCTTACTTTTTTTGGTACTAAGGCTTTGAAATCAAATATGTATTTTACATTTACAACAGACTAGCTACATTTCAAGTGGTCAGCAGGCACATGGGACTGATGGCTGCCATAATAGGTAGTGCAGCTTAGAGCTTCGTTTTAGTGTTTTTCTGTAGCTACCATTCTCTTACAGACTTCTCTGTGACCAAAAAAAGCCTCAGATGGTCAGGCATGGTGGCTCACGCCTGTAATCCCAGCATTTTGGGAGGCCAAGGCAGGTGGATCACCTTAGGTCAGCAGTTTAAGACCAGCCTGGCCAACATGGTGAAACCCCGTCTCTATTAAAAATTAGCCAGGTCTGGTGGCAGGCACCTGTAATTCCAGCTACTTGGGAGGCTGAGGCAGGAGAATCTCTTGAAACTGGGAGGTGGAGGTTGCAGCAAGCTGAGATTGCGCCATCACACTCCAGCCCAGGTGACAGAGTGTGAGACTCCATCTTAAAAAACAAAACACACACACACACACACACACACAAACGTCATTTTACAGGAAAAAAAGAAACAGAACAGGACAGAGAAAATGGTAAGCAGAACCACTTTGCTTTAGAGGTTCCCATTCTGTGTACCTGAGGGTACTGGCTGCTGGTCCATGAGCCATGAAGCCTCAATAACAATTCGCTGCACAGGAACCCACAACTGACTCTCTGAATGAAGCATTCTAAAACAGTCTGACCTTACATAAAAAGTGTGGAAGCACCAGGATGTACTAACAAACGGCTACCCAAATAATGCCCCAGGTGCCATTTTCTGTGAGACACTAGGAGCACCAAGAAAAGACATCACAACAAACAACTGCAGATTATTTAAACTAGGGGAAAAGGCAACCCAACTTATGAAACTAAAAGGGTGGCATATGGTAAGAAGGGGTGGAGGGTTTTTGGTCTTCACGCTATTTGCTTTAACAGGCTCATGGGACTATTTACAAAACAGTAGGCCCAGAGAAGAACTGAATCACATAGTCTGGTCACATTTGCTCTCTCTGAGAAAAAAACAGAAATTCCTGTTCTCCTGCCAGTTTTTCAAAAACTTGGCTGTTGCATTAAAACAACCAGCCTGCTCTAAGATGCTCTTTCCCACTCCCCACCAATCACCAATAGTATGTTCTGAAGAGGAATGTGAATCAAGGTAAGTTTCTCTACATGAGCTGCAGCTCTGCACATTTTGGGTGAGGAGAGAAGCAGAGATCCTGGATTCTATTCTGAGTTGGACAAAGACACAATTAGGATTAAGTCTAGGCATCAGGAAAGAAAAATCTTGTTTGTTTTGTAGTTTTCGGGCTTGAAATTTTAGGATGAAAAAACTACATCTAGAGATATACATCAAGTGGCCGGGCGCGGTGGCTCAAGCCTGTAATCCCAGCACTTTGGGAGGTCGAGACGGGTGGATCACGAGGTCAGGAGATCGAGACCATCCTGGCTAACACGGCGAAACCCCGTCTCTACTAAGAAATACAAAAAAAAACTAGCCGGGCGAGGTGGCGGGCGCCTGTAGTCCCAGTTACTCGGGAGACTGAGGCCGGAGAATGGCATGAACCCGGGAGGCGGAGCATGCAGTGAGCTGAGATCAGGCCACTGCACTCCAGCCTGGGTGACAGAGCGAGACTCCGTTTCAAAAAAAAAAAAAAAAAAAGAGATATACATCAAGTATGTAAAGCTACATCAAGTCACACCAAGAGAAAGAGAGAGAGAGACTGTGTGTGAGAGAGAAGAGACAGAGAAGAAGAGGCAAGAGAGAAAGGGAAAAAAGGGGAGACAGAAAGGAATTTAGACATAGGATTAGGCTTTTTGAAACCAGATGGTGGAGTAGAAGCCCAGGAGACCGGGGTTCTAGTACTGTTCTGCCTCCAACTCACTGGGTCACCCTAAGGAGGTCCTTCCTCCTTCCTTGGAGGAAGGGATTGGCTTGATTTTTCAAACCCCTTCAAGTTCTAACAGGCTAAGTTTCTATCAACTAGTTCTGTATCCCAGACTTCCTAGGAGAGTAGAGACAGTGTTTACCCACTTACTCATTCAACCCATTAAGTATTAATTTTGCATTTAATGGGAAAAGGAGTACAGAAATAAACATGACCTCTAGTCCTCTAGGAGCTACCAGGTTAGCTGCAGGAAAAAGATCTAAATCAAACTCTAATTTTAATGATTCTGTTAGCCTTCAGACCATTTCCAGAAGTCCAAATAGAAATGATTAAAGAATGAACAAAATGAAATGATACACTGAAATGATCAGAAATTTTAGAATTAAAGCTATCTAAATATGAATCCCAATACAGCTAATTACTGTGTCAACGTAGGCAGATCGCTTAACTCTGATAAGCTTTGGTTCTCTAAACTACGGTAAAATGGTGTTAACTGTATCTATTCTCATAAGGTTGTATGGGTTAAATGAGTTAAGGCATGGAAACACTTAGAACAGTTCCTAATAATGTCAGCACTCATTATGAGTAGTGTAGCAAATACAAGCATTTGATATAATAGTTCTCGGCCGGGCGCGGTGGCTCAAGCCTGTAATCCCAGCACTTTGGGAGGCCGAGACGGGCGGATCACGAGGTCAGGAGATCGAGACCATCCTGGCTAACGTGGTGAAACGCCGTCTCTACTAAAAATACAAAAAACTAGCCGGGCGTGGTGGCGGCGCCTGTAGTCCCAGCTACTCGGGAGGCTGAGGCAGGAGAATGGCGTGAACCTGGGAGGCGGAGCTTGCAGTGAGCTGAGATCCAGCCACTGCACTCTAGCCTGGGTGACAAAGCTAGACTCCGTCTCAAAAAAAAAAAAAAAAAAAAAAAAAAAAAATAGTTCTTATATTTAAATGGAAGTAATATATATAAAACAAGTGTGGTGCGTAATTCATAATAAGCACTCAGTAAATGAGAGCTCTTATTACGGCTTTGCGTGATTAAAAATGCATAAAGTCACACATACAAAGGAGCAAAGACCAGAATGAGGAAACCGAAATAACTGACATATGAAAAGTGATGAGGTTATAAGCAATTTCTTATTAATGTTTAATTGTCCTTTCTAGGAAAAATAAATTA